TGAATTGTTTCTTAACATCTCAGTTAGGGGGTAACAGTATACATCGTTCCCAAAGAGAAAAAAGTTGAAATTTTAAATAAAACAATTTAAAAAATTTTCTGTCAAAAACAATAAAAGATTTTTTTTTATTGACCATTTTATGTAGTAAGAATGTTTTTTTATGTAAAAAGAAAAAGGTATGAATCCTCCTCTTCTCCCCCAGCTATGGAGTAAATAGCAGGACAGACTGCTCATTTTGCCTTTGGGTATTCAACCGGTCTAGGAGAAAGTAATTAATGAATTCAAACTATATGTAGCAATTAACCTGGTCAGAATTGTTCGCATGGCTCGTGAATCCATGACAGCGGATTTAAAAATGATGATGATGACCAAAGGATGATAATAACTGAAACTCGAAAAAGTTTGGGATAACTGTGGACTTGAGAAGTAAAAAAATAATTAAAAAAACATATATAAGCACGATATCATCGGATTTTAAGAATATCTAATTTCTGAATATGCGGATGGTCAGCGGTAAACCATTGTTAATATAAGGAAGAATTTGAAAGTCGGGTTCGAATTATATCAGAATTCGTTAGTTTAGTAAAATAACAAGTGGTCTTTAAAATTTTAAATAAACCTGTTTCTTATGTCTTTTATGGGTTTTAATTTTGTCAGATTGGGATCTCTAACCGTGGTTGGTAAAGTGAAGGAAAACTCTCGAATTCAAGACTGGTATGTAGTCCTGGTAATGCGCGTACTATAGAGCCATTGAAAGGATTATAAAGTTCATAACTGCCGTGCGGGGTTGTGAACTCTATGACCTGAGGTCAAATGTAAAAAAAAAAAACTGAAATTAATTTAATGTTATGTTTTCTACCATAATGCTCGGATTTCAAGACGTATTTTATTCATGGCTCTTCACAGATTCATTTCTTTTATCATGAATTCATGGAAAGAAATGAACTGGTTTCCTGTTTTGAAAAAGAAAATAATTCAGATTAACCCTTTTCCTTTTTGAACACGGTGATAATAAAAAATAACTAAAACCCTAAAACAAAATGCTATTTAAGTTAATGAGCTATTTTAGGTTAGAAGAGGAGGATTCCTGATAGAATTAACAAGGCTATTTGTATAACGAAAGGAAAAAAAACAGACTAGTTTTAAATTTGAAATTGACTTGCAGACGGATAACTTTAATACATTTGACATCAAATTGTTACGTTTTCCTCTTGTTAAAAAAAATCCTGTTATTTTTATTTTAAATTTGTGCTAATAAGTTAATAAATCTATAAAAAAATTATTTGACATTTCTTAGAAAAATATTAATTTCAATAAAAAAAAAAGAACATTCCTTGTAAGATATTTACAAAATAATACGATATATGGTAATATACGAAGTCTGGACGAATTCCAAATGTGCTTTGTTTATTATGAGTGAATTGGTAATGGTAATATTATCCGTTTCCTTATAAGGAAACATTCGGCATTCATTGACATGAACAGCTTGAGCTAACCAGGTTATATAATTTTTTTCTTTATATATATATATATTCAAATATATATATTGTTATATTCAAACATTTTACATTTTCAGAAAATTATATTTTGAGATGAGGTCTTGTAATTATTTATATTATTTACATTGTTCGGATTGCTGTCCTCATCTTTATTGTCATATTCACGACGCGTGGATAAAAGCGTTCGTTGGATCCAGTAAGAGTTGTGAGTTCAATACCTGGCTACTGCAGTGGTGAAGAAAAACGTAGAGAGTTGAGTTAAAGGGAAATAACTGAGACATCCGGATGAGGCATGGCACGTGGAATTAGGACAATCTGCTCCGGTGTACGAAATAAACGGTCCAGTTCGAAACTCCAATCACCTGAAGAAGGCCAGAATGTAAAACGGCCGAAACGTCGTGAATGTGACAATAAAGATGAGGACAACAGCCCGAACAATGTAAATAATGTAAATAAACTACATTTTATCTCTTAATTATGTTTCTGTCTTCGGACATAACGCCACAAATAAATGAGACACGTTTGGTTCTGGACAGCACCTCCCTCATTGCACCAAGAAGGAGGGTCCGTGGAATATCGACGTCAGCGGTACGTTGGTTGGGACTTAGCCCATGTATACGCGTTTGGGATCCCGGCCTTCTACCATATCCCGCCATCGACGAGGGGGGTGTAGTGGGGAGTTCGGTAATAACAAGTGTCGTATCTATTCTCCTCATCTCTAATGGTCCTGTTAGTTGTTTCCTTATAAGAAAATATTCGGCGTTCGTTAACTGAGCAGCCAGTGTGCTACTTTCGGTAGAAAATCTATAAATCTTTCTATCAAAACAATTTTTTTTTCAAATTTTGACAACCGTTAAGACTCCGAGAGGATAGGCAAAGTTTATTTCGGGTTGAACTTTGTGAAACTTCGTCGCCCAGGCCGATGACATTAAATGATATTTAGAATTTTTATTCTTTTTTTTTTTTTTTTTTTTTTTTTTTTGCTAGCGGTCATTTTGACATCATTATAGGCCAGTTAGGTTCGGTGTCGCCCAACCTTTGCTCACACACATTACATTTAACGCTTGTACTTCGTGCGATCAATAGGTTTTACAATTGTAAGAACAGGGGCCTTAAATTTTAAAACCATTTCCTCTGTCTAACTTCTGTATATTCGCATGAATCCTAGAATTCTGAAATGTTCGACGGCTAGTCGACTTAAAGAAAAAAAACACCATCTACATCACGTTTACATCTACGTTTCATTTAACAAAAAAAAAAAACTTACATTTTATTTTTTTACACTATTTACATGATTCGGACTATTGCTCTCATCTTTGTCGCCATATTTATTACAACGTTTCGGCCGTTGTACGCTCCGACCTTCTTCAGGTGGTTGGAATGTCGAAACGAACCCTTTATTTCGCTCACTAGGGTAGACTGTTCTAGTTCCATGAAAATATGCGCCCTCCGACAGAAATCGAACCTGTATCCTATACGGAACCGTCATATAGCCTGACGTGATTTTACCGATTGAGCCACAGAGGAACGTTTCGGTTAGCAAGGTCGATTTTACTGTTTTACTGATTTTTTTTTAATCGACCTTGTTAACCGAAACGCTCTTCTGTGGCTCAATCGGTAAAAGCACGCCAGGATATAAAACGGTTCCGTGTAGAATACAGTTTTAATTCCTGGCGGAGAACGAATATTTTCTATGAAAAATTCGCGGACATTCAGGCCAGTAAATGTCGTTAATACTGTTTATTATAAACAGAGCATTTACTTAAATATTTGTATCTATAAATAATAACGTATAAGCATAAAAAATGTCTAAAAATAATTGTCGGACTTTGTCCATTTCATAATGGATATATATATATATATATATATACTCGACTCTCCTTCGAATTCGACGTATGAGGGTCAAGCAGATCAGTTCCTAGGAAACCGACAGCAGCACGACAACAGCACATCAGATTTGATTATAGTGGTGAAGGGTTCGTGCAGAACCATTCACACTTTTTTGAAGGGCCGAATACAGAGACCTGGTGCACTACGTGCCACAAGGTCCCCAAACGACCCTCTGCAGGCTTTGAATTCAGAGTTCCAAGGGTATTAGCACGTAAGTGAATGCAATGGATTCGACTGGAATTCGAACTCGTCTCTCCGATTCCTTAATCCAAGCCGCTATCCATTACTCCACCGTGCCTATATATATATAAGGGAGATAAAAAAAAAGTATTTCAATTGTGATTATCTTTTGGCTTTGCAAGTTGGACATATGATATTTTATTTTGGGAGGAGAGTAAAATTGTTAATTGATAGATAATATTTTATCCTGAGTATGTTTATCACTTAATCTCAATCACCAGCAAGTATATACCCGTAAAGAAACTCAGGAAAAAATATGTATATCCCAAAAGTAATACTTTCGTCGATTTTCCAAAAATTAAGGAAAAAAAAAGGTGTTTCATAAAAGAGTGTGGATCTCCGACCGAAAATATTTAATTTACTTTCTGTAAATGGGACCATGGCCGGCGCGTACTACCTCCGAAATCACGACTGATTGCCCGTGGGGGGGCAGTGCTTTGTCACACTCACTATTGTATCAACATTTGATTTTATTTTTCTACCTACATTTATATACGTTACAAATTAAACTAAGCACAACTGACTATTAAAGGATGAATTTTTTTTTTTTACGGATTTTGAAGTCATTCTGGGGTTGGGTTTTTTTTTTTCTGTTGCTCATGCCAAGTCTCGATAAAACACTAGATAAAATTTACTGATTTTATCCATAATGTTGAATGTATGAAATTATTCATCTTTTTAAAAAGAAAAATCTCAAGTTGAGGTTAAAAATTGCCACAAGACATTGTCGGTTTATTTAAGATGGAATGATCTATTATGGGATGTCTCTAATTTGTATTTAGATACATTAGATTTATTTTCAATTTTTCTAGTTGAGTTATTCACCTATGTTACATATAATCCATTATTGTAGATAATTATTTTACAGTAAAATTTGTATTTTATATGAATTCTACCTTATGAAAATTGAAATGTAGTAGAGTGGGTGGCGTATCATAGAGTCGCGGGAGGTCGAGACCTTTGCACGGGCCCTGATCTTGTGTTATATCAGACATTCTCTTTTGTGTGAATAATGATTTAATGAATATATTTTGGTCAAAAATTGTTACACAATAAACATTTGGATAGTTTTATTTCAAGCTCCATAAAGTAGTTTTAAGATTACTATTTCAAGGGAAGTTACTTGCGTAATTTCAAAGCTGTCAATTCAGAAGAATTTTTGAGAAACGGGAGAATTAGCAATATAAAATAATGCTTACTAACATAATATAGACAAATGAGATAAATTTTCGGCAACTTTCAAAATATGAATACAAGTGTATCATTTTCAGCAGATTTAATGTTATAATCAATCATAAATTCGGGGCGGGAGGGGCACGAGACACTTGAAGCGTCCCTAACTGGTTTATTATAAACTGTTTGTGTTTTCAGATGGGCAAGAACCCGATTATGACAGCCGGAGCAATCTCTTTGGCAACGGCAATTAACAGTAACGAAAACTGTGCCATAACGCTTTTCGACCTGACGGTAAATACATTTTATTTATTATACTTAGATATACACTTATGTATATTTATACATTTATATGTTTCTGTGACATGACGGGATTTGTTAAAGAAATGTTATATATATATTAGAAGAGTGGTTTGAGTAGAAATCGATCAGGTTTTTTGTTGTTTTTTTTGTTGGTAACTTTTCTATAAATGTCAGAATTAAGTTCGTTATAACGTGATATCTAGGAAGGGAAGAGTATAGTTGGTTTCAGTTTCAAAAGTGAAGTCTATTGTAGGTTCAATGTTGTTAAGTTAGTTGACAAGATCTCTTAAATTAATATTTTGTGGATATATTAGTAGTGTGTCGTCTATGTATCTGAAATAGGAAGAGTTTGGAGATTGTTTTTGAACGGGTCACTTTTCTAGAAACTCTAAAAATAGACAAGCAAGAACGCCCCTGAGAGGAGATCCCATTGGTAAACCAAATTTTTGTCCGTAAAGTTAGTTGTATAGATGAACAATAGTATATATATAATGTCTAAGAGCTACTCAAGGCAAAGGGTTACTGAATGAGGTTTCTGTAAAGGCGTAAGAGGATGTTTATTTAGCGGCATATCAACTCCTTAGGGTCATTTAATACCGAAATTTAATTTTCTTGGGGGCATTAGTAATTTTATTACTATGTATTGCTGGTAATTTTTTTCCAACAATGTATTGCTGGTATTTTTACTAGGAAAATGTATTTTTATACTTTCATCGTGCTTTGACCGGAGTTTTTTCTTTTTTGGTTGGGAGGTAACTATTTTCCCATAGTTGAAACCCGAACAGGTGCTACCACCCTGGGTTAGGATGGACCTGGGAAATTTTAGTTTTGAAAGATTTTTTAATGGAGAGAATTCTATTATGTTGACATATTTGTCAATATAGAGACTTTTATCGTTTTTACTGCTGATTAGAAAAAAATAATCTTTAATGATTTAAATATTGCAAAGTACTTTACTTATTGGAAATATTAAATTTAATCTATTAGCTTGGAATTAAAAATAAAAACTTCAAGAAAAACTTCTCATTTTTAAAATGCATTAAACCTTAGGTATCGCTTTTTTGGTTGTGTGTGTGTGTGTGTGTGTGTGCCAAAAAGTTCTCAAAGCGATGCAAAATTTGAACCAATATGCAAACCTAGATATTGTTACTTTTTTTGTTTTGTATCCCTCGTGGTTAGTTTGAGAACTAGGTTTACCTACCTTGTGTACTTAAATAAAAAAAAATGCTTTACTTTTTTTCTTTCTTGTTTTAATTTAATTTTGTTAAAGATGTCGATAAGGAAAAGTAGAAAATTTATTTTGAAGGGTTAACGATGATCTCGATTGGACTTTTTATATAATAAAAGTAAAACGTAATTATTACTGTCGGAAAATAACTGTTCATCTCCGTCGGAATTGTAAACTTTATTATCTTTGCACATCACCCCTTCGTACACATCTTCCATAAATCAATGCTGACTAATGTCATTGCAATTGTTTTGATATTTAAAACAAAACAACAAAAAATCCAGAACGTCATATGAATTTCTTTATTTTTAGCAAGACTTGTGCGCGACAGCCTCAAATTTCCAACTCATGAGACTGGATCGGCGTTTATTTTGATGACGTATCAAAACAAATACGCTTAAAATAAATAAATAAATAAATAAAATAAATAAACAAACAACTGTCGACTGATGAAAGAAGTGTCATAAATATTTTGAAAAGAATTTGAATTAAGAATTTTCTCTTAAAACATTTTGAACACAATATAACCTATTACTTTCAATTTTATTTTAATTTTGTTACGAATGAAAGGACACACGGTAACAAAATAGCCTTGTATTAATTTAACTTTAGTTAAGAAAACTTTAAAAAAATAAATAAGTTTAGTCTGGCACAAGAACGAAAAAAGACTGAATGGTGTTTGTGGGGTATATGAAGATGACGATGAAACGATATGAATATTGGAAAGAGCTCTCCTGCTATATCAACCATTGTCGCCAGTAAGAATTCCCCAATTTATTTAGCCACCACAATAAATGTATAATACTACGGTTCCTATCTATAACAGTAAGCCAGATGATTTTACAAAAGATAAAAGCACTTCTCTCGCCATTACAACATCACATGTCACGAACAGCTAAGATAAGTTATCGAACATAATCGATAAATCACTCATACCAGAAACAAGTTGACAGCCTCTCCAGTTGGCAACGAGAGTAAAACTATGAAGAGTTTTACATATATGCTGCAAACAAAAGCATTTATTTAATTATATTTCATAGAAAGTTTAAAGATCTATTTTTGTCCTATGCTGTCTCTCTTTTTACCGTTTGTTTAGTCTCCTGTTGTCTTTATGATTGACAAGTGAAAGGTCAGGGGTTCGACTCATAGGTCAAGCAAAGACAATCCCCAGAACACAGACTGGGGGTGGGTAGCGCATTCAACCCCATCCCTCACTGAGAGCAAAGATTTGTACGTCCCAAAACACGACATCCGAAGAAGGCCGAAAAGTACGCGACCGAAGCGTTTTCAAATTTTCATAAAACCACAAAATAAAAAAATTAGGCCATACTAATCAATACAGGGATTGAAATATTTTTTATTTGGTATCGCCACTGATTCAACTTGGTATCTCTGCTGGTAATAACTATTTACTCTTGTCTTACTATTATGTCTGATCAGTTCGAAAAGATCAAATCTGCAGCTGATCTAAAAATGACCTACAATCTTTTGTTAACTGGGACAAGGAATGGCTTGTTAATGTTAACACCTCCAAAACAAAACTGTTCTCTTTTAATCGTCTAAGAGATCACTTTCTGCCCTCCGCCAAGAGAGTGACTCACTGCGCCTCCTCGGCTAACATAAAGTGGAAAGATTACATTGAATCAATTGCTAGGTCTGCTGCTAGGAAAGTTAGTTCACTGTGTCGTCTTAGGTAATTTTTCTCTCCAGAATCTTATATATTTATACGTTTAGCATTCGTCCATGCTTTTAATATTGCTACCACATCTGGTTTGGTGCTTCTGTTATGCATTTAGAGATTCTTGATAAAATCCAAAGAATCTGCAACGTTATTGGTCCTGACCTGGTATATCGACTTCTGTCACTTTCTCACCGCCGTAACATACCTTCCTGTACCTGTTTTTTTTTTATAAGGTTCTCCCTGTACAAAACCAGGATGCCATTCAAGGTACAGGGTTACTTTAAGAGGAAGATAACGGTTAAAATTGTAGCGATCGGGGAAACACCCTCTTGGGAGTCGGTTCCACAGAGCAGCTGTTCGAGTGGAACTTACTTCTCACCCTAGGGATTGTGGGTGGTTTGCTACAATGTAAGTGTCATGGCTGGCTCGAGCCGTAGAGGTTAAACCTGGCGGAACCAAGGAATGTGGTTCATCCGAGCACTTTCCATGGAAGTAGCAATAGAGCAGTGAGAGACTCGCCACGTCCCTCCTGTGTGAGAGAGAGAGAGAGAGAGAGAGAGAGGTTGCAGGGTGGAAAATAATTTCTCATCCACAAGGACTCGGAGACACTTTTGAATCAAGACTGGAAAGTGTGGACTGGGCAGCTCCCGCCCAAACATGACAGCAGTACTTCATTTTCGGTCTGATCTTGGCTAAATGTAGAGGTAACATGAGGAGTCAGGTACTTACTGAAATGGTACAGGGAGCCGACCATTTCTCCTGCACCTTTTTGGTAGATCGTATATACGTCTTCCACTTAAGGTCAAGAACCAATAGTCTCTCAAGGCACGAAACCTAACCAAGGGGGCATCCGTTTATAGTGACTGACGGTAGATCGGGGTTCGATCAGTGATGATGGAATGTAACTAGTTTATGCAAATCAAAAATAGGGTTGATCTGAGAAGTGAACCTTAGGAAATGCCTGCGTTGACTGCCAGGGTACCAGAGGACCAGCCGTTAATAACTACCTTCAAGGACCTACATACGGATTAATCTTCGAGCTAGTATTATCGAGCACGTATCATTACTATTGGGATCGCCATTTTCATTCTATCCTCAATTATCATTCCGATCGCCATTTCTATCCTATCCGCTATTACTATTCGCATCGCCATTTCTATTCTATTCCCTATTACTATTTGAATTGCCATCTTTATTCTGTCCTCTATTACTATTCGGAACTGTATTTCTATTCTATCCTCAATTACTATTCAGATCACCATTTCTATTCTATCCTCTATTACTATTCGGATTTGGGTTTTTATTCTCTCCTTTATTACCATCCGCATCGCCATTTCTATTCTATCCTCTATTATTTTTCGCATCGCCAGTTCTATTCTATCCTCTATTGCTATTCGGATCGTCATTTCTATTCTATCCTCTATCACTATTCGGATTTGCGTTTTATTCTAACCTCTATTACTATTCGAGTCGCCATTTTTATTTTATTTTCTATTATTATTCGCATCGCCATTTCTATTATATCTTCTATTTCTATTTGCATTGCAATTTCTATTCTATCGTCTATTACTATTCGGATCTGTATTTTTATTCTATCCTCTGTTACTATTCTCATCGCCATTTCTATTCTATCTTCTGTTGCTATTCGGATCGCCATTTCTATTCTATTCTCTATTACTATCCGCATCGCTATTTCTATTCTATCCTCTATTACTATTCGGATTGCTGTTTCTATTTTATACTCTGTTACTATACGGACCGCTATTCTCTACTCTATTCACTATACTATCTCTCTATTCAGATCCCTATACGGATTACTATTCGAACGAGTATTATCAAGCATTACTATTAGTGCGTGTTTATTCGATGGCGTCTACACCAGTATTGTTCAACAGCGTTAATATAGTTGTATCTGTGATTACAAAGTCTCTACTATAACAAGCTTTACGAAAGTGAAAACTAGTATTCTTTGATATCAAAAAAGTG